GGTTTTTCTTCGTATTGTAACATCCCGCAAAGGTATTTCCAAAGGTAAAGCTTCGCTAACTAAGCAGGAAAATCTAACCAAAACATGACCCAAAGTGAAATAAAAGAAAGTGGACACCGTGAGACGACACCAAAAATGAAAAAGCGAATATGTCAAGCCAAAGTTTTTGTTACGCACATAAATCAGTTTACAAACAAAATAATAGTACAAAAGAAAATGATGGACAACAGCAACCATTAGCAGTACAACGGGGATGAGCAACAGTGAATGTGTTAATATGACCCAACGTATACAAATTTTAGAAAATAAGATAGTTGGTTACCTTACAGTGCTGAACTTCTTCTGCAAGTATGATGGTTGTACTGAACTTAAGAGAAACGTCAACAATTCTACAAAAACAAAATACAATTTTAGTCGTGGTCAACATACAGAACATATTGGGCATCGAAAATACTCTTAAAAATAATTCTCTACGGAAATTGTAACGTCACTGTCTCAAATGTAATGGTACAACGAAGAAAAAAGGTTGTTGGTGTGTGCTACTGGGTTATTCCATTAGTTTATGATGTGGACTGATTAATCGATCAAAATAACATGTAATTCACCAGTTTTCATCGGAGAACCTTTCAGGATTTAAAAAAAGAAAATTTCTTACAGATTTTGCAACAGTCTATTATCGAAGCAAACATTAAAAAATAATTCTGGTTCAATTCATCTCCATAGGGTGAAAGCAATTTGTTTCCCCTTTCTCTCCCTTATTTGTTTGTGTTCTAATAGATAATAATCACTAAAAATATCATTCTGGCACATTAACGGACACATAAAATAGGCCGAGTTGTATGACAAAATAATGATTTTTTCCTAAATTCATTATCTCGTATATTCATTCTCTCAAATACAGTGCTTTCTTCTTACACTTGGAGAACTCATATGCACTAATTTACTTTAAATCCTTTCCCGCTCTAGGTTAGGAAGGCTATCAGTACTTTGTATGACTCTTCCAAGATACAATGATGCAAAAAACCAAATGTAGTTACATACCCCCACCCAGTATCCTCGTAATATAGATCACAAAGGCTAAATTTTCGTTGTTTATTCAGTAGATCCAAATTTAACAGGTCGACATCAGGCTTTCTCCGGGAACATGCTTGGAATCTTGGAGTCATTCAGTTGGAGATAAGTTATTTTTCATTTCCTTCTAACACATCATATAATACAACACCCAGATAAAAGATCATGGTAAAATAACATGATTTTTCCAGCAAGATTTTGGTACTGTACCTTGGTTATAAGGAAAAATAACTGAATTAAATCATTGTTTCGAGAAAAAATCAATTACCAAATGTTCTGAAGGAAAAATTACAAATTCTAACAACTCATTTATCTGCATCCATCCGTAAATTTTATGCCATGTTTGATGCCAACCACTTATCTCTACGTTTGTAAAACTTATTCAAGTAAATTTAACATGAAAAGAAAGATGCAAGTTACAAAGTCTTGTTACATTTCCCTATCACTTCATATATTATAGCCTAATTATGCTAACACAACAACAACGCCTTGGAAATTTGCACAGGCATGAATAGACTTACAAACCATACCCAATATCCATCTTTATGTCCCTTCCACAGGCCAACAAAAAAGCTGGTCAGTCATCCTAGACTGCAATTTAACCCAAGAGAAAACAAGGAGGGTGGGGAGACAAACTACCAGTCACATGGTAAATAAGAATTTACTAATATTCTTTTAAACATTATTCCCAGATTTCCCAACAATTATTTATGGTCCAATTTGTGGTTTTGTTTTAATCTTAAAGGGTATACATCACAGTGACGACAACTTAAATAGGTATCTTAGTATGAATATTGTTATCTTTTTCAAGTACAAAGTACTAAAGCGTCATACAAGGATACAAAGAGAGAGGGAGGGAGATAACGCGACATGCACCAGAACGAGCAGCTGTGTGCCTAGCTTTAAGTGAATATAGATCTCCACAAGTTTATTGATTAAAGAATAAATTACAGCTCCTTTCTCTCAACATGGTCATATGGGAAAAAGGCTACAAGAGATGAAGATCGCAGCTAATTTTAGATGCTAATCAGAAGATAAAAAGAAAGACGAAAATCAAGCTTATTCATGAATCGTAACTGAAATATTCAAACAAATAGAGAAGCTACTGGACACGCGCCAAGATTTCAGGGAAGTAACATGGTTCACTTAAAAAAGGAAGAATAGAGTAAAACTCACAAGAACTGAAAACATAATTTAGTTCAAAAAAGTGGTACAGCTTCAAGTAGAGTCGTAAAAACAATTTAGTTCAATTTAAATTGTAGTGTGAATTAAATTGAACCCAGGGCTCGAGAGAAGGCTGTGAGTACTTGCACTTTCCCCTCTTTTTGTTTCTCGAGATTGCTTTTTTTTTTTTTTCTTTCCTTCTTACAAGATCCAATCCTGAAGTAAATTTAGATTTGAAGCTTATTTGGGATGGCTCAGATAAGGCAATTTTTTTTGGTTAACTTTTGTTACCCATGATATTTCTGTTAGCTATTGAGTGAATATAACTTAAATCAAAAAGAAAAAAAACCTTGGAATAGCTCGAGGTTGCCAATGAAAGAAAGCTGGATGTCAACTTCTACGTGCCGAGTTTACTAACTCGGCATGATGCTATTGATTTTCAAATTTGTTATCATTATTAAGATAAAAGTACTGTTTGTCTATTTTTATCAAAGGAACACACACAAGTGATTCTTTACTTGTAGAACTTGCTCAATTACATTACCGTTAGAGAATACTTTTCTAGATTCAACTTTCTCCTTTTCCGGCTTTGATTTTGTGTAACCTCAATTACTAAAATTTTAAGTTTTGGTTAATAAAGATGTATCTCATTCAAATGTGACACTGTAAACGTGGGTGTTAAGCTTCTTCGCACTATTATGGAGAGAGCAACTCCTTTTTTTTGGTGGTAATTTCGCTCTGATGTTAGTGTATTGGGAAATATGTAGGAACAGGCCATTTGTTCAATATTTCTTCCAGATACCTCAAAAGCCAGATAAACTAATTAAAATCATTGTATTCTTATAAAGTAGTTTAGTTATGTGATGCATGTTTTGCATTTTTAGAAGGGAGCATCTTCTTTTAAGGAGCTTTCCCTCTCCAAAGGCTTAGGTCTGGTCTTGTATATAGTTGAGTAGCATATTACTTGATGTTGTTTGCCTCATTCGTTGATACTATACATTCAAAATTAAAAAAGGGCTCATTGATATTTCACCCTTGGAAATGCTTCAAAACTTCTGAAAGTCTGTTTGCATGATGAGGATTCTTTCTTTCATCTTTGTTCCAATGTAATAAACACAAAGTTGGTCGGTTAATCATATGTACATTACATACCTTTGTTTATACAAATGACAAAATCTAGAACACCTGAAGCAGCTATTGAAAAGGTGAAGATATATGGCTTTTGATTGATTGATTAAGTCAGAAGGCATGTCACAAGTCTTGGTATTGGCACTCGTCTTTACATGTCCACTTCCACTTTCACAAGGATTATATCGGCCTAAACTTAAAATTAATTTAGCTCAGTTATATACAACAACCTGGAGAAATGTGTACTAAATAGGTTTTGTAGGTGAGTAGGTCACAAGAGTCTTTATCATGTACTTTTCTTTTTGCTTTGACATGAGATGGTGGTTTTGCACTGGTAGCGTGAGAAATTAGAAATATACTGTTACGTTCTTTCTTTTTGTAGTAGTATGCTAAACAATGTAAAAAATTTGTGGGAAAATGACTTTACACAGAATGTCTTCCATGTTACAGCATGTTAAAGAAGTACTGAAGGTGTTTCCTATTACTTGATCTGCATCTTTTTTCGGCTTTTCTGATAAATAAACTCTTCTTAGGAAAATCTGTATTTTATCTAACTCGAGTGTGTATTGTTGGGGATGGGTGTTTGTGCAAATCCAATTTTGTTCCCCATGTATATGTGTGCTTGAATGAGCATGAGCTATGATATTTATTTGTGCCTAATTTATTCTTGGGTAAGTTTTCTGAACATTTGAGTGGCTTGCCCTCAATTGTTAGATTATTACATTTCCCTTGGCAAAATGCTCGTCATCGATTAATTCCACAAATAGGATCCCCTTTTGACTTACTCAATTGTTTCCATCAGTAGCTTCTTCTTTTAGCTCTATTCTAGTATTTTTCTCCAGCTGCTTTATCCTTGGCAATTCTTGTTTTTGGCAGCTCTTTGCAGCGGATCCCTCCTTGAAACGCTTTAAGTCGCATAAACAGAGTGTGCGGAACCTTAAAAGGGTGGGAGATGTTCTAGCTATTGTTGTTGTAGCGGGTTTGCTGATCTCTTCACCATATACTGAATTTGCTTTATTTAATTTTCTGTGAGTGTAGCTGTAAGTGTCCGAAGGTAGTGAAATATTCACTTGCAGAGTTGCGAAGTTGTTACTTTATCAAGTATGTTGACAACGTTCTTTTCAATAAGATTGTGAATGTCTACAGTTCTAATGAAATAAGGTTTCTTTAGGCTTTATGCCCCTCTTTTTCTCCAACTTATAGAAATTGAAATAAGAACAATTGTAAGAGTCTTGTAGCACCTTCTTAGTGCTTCTTGCTTACCAATAAAAAATGTTACCTTATAAAAATAATAATCATAAGACTCATTTGACAAACACCATGTTTCTGCTTATTTTTTTAAAAAGTAACCATGGTGCTTGCTAATTATTAACTTGTGGCTTTTAATAGGTGTCAGAGTCTCAAAACAATTTTGATCAGTTGTAACAAACAACCTGTCACTGTCGTGTTACTACTCTGCATTAGTTTTTAGTTGCAAAGTAATCAGATTACAATATTCATGTCATTGGCTTTGTTAGGTGTTTGTCATAATTTTCTTACCATATTTAAATTTCCTATCTCTTGAAGGAAAATGGCAATATAATTACCTTAATTGGATTTTCCTATTTGTAAACGGAAATTATAAATCTCCAATATTTGGCTAGTCCTTTTTCTTGTAGGAAAAGGTTTGGACTTTTATAAATTGAGGATCCTTCCTTCACATTCAGTAGCATCCACAATGTAGCCATAGGGCCCTTGAGAGTCTTGTTTAGGGAGAGAACTTTACGGGGCAAGTGTTAGGTGTCACTTGTGTTTGCCTCTTCGTGAGGTTGTTCTCTCGATAATTTGTACTCTCTTTTATTATAGTGGATTGCTCGTCTCCGTTGTGACGAGTAGGTCAGTTGACCGAACCACGTTAAACGTTTGTGTCTCTTTTGGTAGATTTCTCTTTGTTGTATGATTTATCATCGTTCAAGATTTGCTTTGCTAGCTACCGCATGACACCTAATTTTTTCTGGTCCCTAACAAGTGGTATCAGAGCGAGGTTCAAGATAGGTTTATCTTGGCGGGTTCAGTTCTAGCCGCAACATATTTGACGATAATCGTGATTTTGTTTGAGAAATTTGACCGGTGTGTTACGCACGTTGAGACAAACTTCGTGGTGGATAAGGGTGTGCATTCGAATCGGTTTATCGATAAATCGAATCGATTATTTGTTATCGAAATCGAAATCGAAAAAATCGAAACCTTATTGAAACGATAACGATAAGCATATGTACAAATCGATAATCGATAAGTAATTATCGATAAGGGTCAAAATCGAATCGATAAATCGAATGCACACCCTAGACTGTAGACACTTGTTAAATGAGTAATTACCTATTTGTGTAGATTAATAAACATACAGAATGTGTATATATATATTCCGCTACTATTTTGAAAGCGGCTATACAATATTTTTTCCCTAATCTATACCCTTTCCTTTACCCTAAGCCCCTTACCCTATTATTTCCTCTACCACATTTAAGGAATGATCATATTTAAAGATCAAGGGAATGAAGTTCAAATTAATGGAAAATAGAATTAGCCGTAATGATGTGTTTTATTTTGTTTTGTTTTTTTTTATACCGTTGGAGTGTTGGGTGGAATACATTTGATCCCTTACTTTAGTTTTGTTGCATGTGCTTGTTGACACAATTTTTATATTATAAATGGTGTTCGTCTTATTTTAGCTTCTTTTTGTCTATATTAGTTAGGCGCGTTTATAGCGATATACTTTCCGTGGAATCCCGCAAATTTTCTTATTGGTGTAATCGATAACCGAATCGATAAGCCCCCAAAATTGATAAATCAAAATCGAAAAAATCGAAACCTTATTCAAACGATAACGATAAGCATATGTACAAATCGATAATCGATAAGTAATTATCGATAAGGGTCAAAATCGAATCGATAAATCGAAAGCACACCCCTAGTGGTGGAGATTTGGAGATGCGACATGTTGAAGGCTATGTGAAGAAGATGGATCAAGTTTATTTTGTCAGAAAATTCAGGCCAAGGGGAGAATTGTTAAGTGTTTGCCATAATTTTCTTACCATATTTGAATTTCCTATCTCTTGAAGGAAAAGGGCAATATAATTACCTTAATTGGGTTTTCCTTTTTGTAAAAGGAAATTATAAATCTCCAATATTTGGCTAGTCCTTTTTCTTGTAGGAAAATGTTTGGACTTCTATAAATTGAGGATCCTTCCTTTACATTCAGTAGATCCACAATGTAACCATAGGGGCCTTGAGAGTCTTATTTAGGGGGAGAACTTTACGGGACAAGTCTTAGTGTGTCACTTGTGTTTGCCTCTTCGTGAGGTTGTTCTCTCGATATTTTCTACTCTCTTTTACTATAGTGGATTGCTCATCTCCGTTGTGGACGTAGGTCAGTTGACCGAACCACGTTAAATGTTTGTGTCTCTTTTGGTAGATTTCTCTTTGTTGTATGATTTATTGTCCTTCAAGATTTACTTTGCTAGCTACCGCATGACACCTAATTTTTTTCGGTCCTAACAGGCTTCTCAGTCATTTTCTTCAAAGCCATTGAAAATATTTTAAAACCTTCTTTAATTACCTATTCACCCCGAAACAAAAAGAACTTTTTTTAAAGCTTTCTATTATGTTGAATTGCGTTGAGATCTTGTTCCGAGGCTGTATATTCTGTGCAATATATGTTATCATCCTCCTTTTGCTGCTTAATAGGCTACATGATCTCTATGATGCTCCTAATATAATTTGCAACAATCAATTTCCAACCTTCATAGTCATTGGCTTCTCATTCATGTTCGAAGCTGTTTAAAGATTTTAAGAAGCTTCTGCTCTGTTGGTTTACATCCAACTCCTGTAATTTAGATGCTATCAGTTATGTCCCTTACAGCATCTTTTTGCTGCTTATTGTGCTGCTATTTACGCTAACTCTGTATCCTGGAAAAGCAGTTCTACCTGTCTTTTCTATTGAATAGCATCTTTGGGGCAAGATAACTCCCGGATGTGAGGGAGGTCTTGTGATCGTTGTATCCTGCTGCCTCATTTTGTGTGCAATTTACAATTGTTATGAATCTTTTCGTAAACCATTTATCTGCTGACTGTTTAATACTTCTGAAACCGTCATTCTGATCTTCCTAATCTATATTTACAGGATGTTGTTATGAAATATATGTGAGAGCTGTTATGCGGGAAGAAGCAAGGAAGAATGAAGAAGGAAGCGCATAATGGCAGATCGTTCTGTTTTTGCATATTTTCACTGCCTTTATTCTTTGAAACATGGGGGAAATGGGATAATGAAGGATGGGTATCTCTAAGTACATGAAACTCGTGTTTTAACTTTTGTTTGGGGTTGGTGGTATGAAAATAAGGTGGTTCCAAACAGTTGAGGCTGCATCTCAACGCCAAGAACTTTGCATGCAAATTTTGGTTTTATTTGAACTTTATGTTTGAATGCTCTAAAGTGTATGTGATGCCTGGTGAGATTTTCTCACCTTCAATTATATGGTGCTTTCACTTCTACGTAATGCGACTAACACAAAAGATGGACCTTCCGATCGTGGAAGTAATGTTTGTTTTTGTGTGCTGCCTCGTGTATAAGGGGATGGAAAATAATGTAGGGTGAAGGAATTGCATTTGTTTATCTACATAATCTATTTCTCTTGCAAGAGACTAGTCTATTCTGCTATTTGTATTGTCAATCACATCTTTGCTAGTGGATGATGCTTAATCCATGCGATAGTTCTGTAGGGAGAGATTATCTGATTGTTAAATGAGATTGGTTGCCAATCAACTAAAATACAACCTCTTTCTTTTTTAATCTTATCTACAATGGGGTTATTTCCTGCAAGGAAACTAGAATGAATCAGAAAATGAGAAAAATAATGTAATGAAATGTAGATATTTTTCGATGAACATATGTTAAGAAGTTCCTTATGGGATATTCAATATGAAAAAAAAAAGTGAAGGGATTATACGTCGAGAAGCAACGTAAATTTGAAAAACACCATTACTTATCTGTATATTAGAAGAGAAAGATTTTCGACATGTCTGCTTAATGTCTTTTTAAAAAGCTTGAGGATAATTCAGTCATTTAGCATAGCTTTATACGTAGCCTTTTTTCCGTTCGACAAATACTACGTGTAGCTTTTTGATTTCTTTCTCAGCACCGCATCCTTCCCATCTTCAGTCCCAATATCTCCTATATCGGTTTTTCCGTGGATTCCAGAGCATTGTTCTCAGTTCTCACTCTTTCCTTATTGTAGCCTCTGGAATCACATGAGTTTCCTTCGTTTGTCACTCGATTTTCTGTCGTTTGTCACTTCGAAAGCTTAATATATCAGTTTCAACATGTGGAAACTCGAAAGGGAGATTTTGAGGTTTTGGATGACCGACTTCCAAACCAAATTTAGGATCCATTTAAGGTAATTGAGTAGTTCAATCGTTAGTTTTCTCCTCTGTTTCTTTACTTTTGTTGGTTCATTTTTACCTGTAACTATAGTCTATATTAATTGGGGTTTTGCAATTTGGCCTATAGTATATTGAATCAGTTTTGATAGTATTTGTCAATTTGTGATTTTAATAGTTGAAGCTTAATTTCTAGGTTCTTTTATGTGATGAATCCAAGGACTAGGGCTTACTAATTAATTTGCTCTCTGCTATTTGGAACAGACCTAATTGATCCATCATTGTGCAGAGGAGCACACAGTTATGCAGTAAGTTCATCTTAAGTAGAAAAATGAAAGGGGTGGCAAAATGGTTCAAAGAAAACAGTTAACCACCCATATTATCCACTAAAAAATGGGTTGGATAATGAACTTTTTAAAAACGGGTCAAATATGGATAAGAACCATATTATCCATTTAGAAAATGGATAACCAATGAGTAACCAATGGATAACCAATGGGTCTAACTTTTATATTTGTAAAGCCTCAAATTGGGGGTTCCTCAAGTTAGGGAGACTAAGAATTCTTCCAAAAGTGATCATATACATGAAGTCATGGATAATATGGGTAACCCATATTATCTGCCGGTTAATCCATTTTTTATCCGTATTAAATATGGGTCGGGTCGGATAATTGATCCGTTTTTTCATTACCCGTTTTCGACCCGAACCATATCCGACCCGACCCGCCCGTTTGCCACTCCTATTTGCAGGGGTCCTGCTTTGTATATTTCACAGACACTCATCAGATTCTACTTTTGGTAATTGGTTAAAAAAAATTAAGTTATTAATGTATAGTCCTCTATTAAACTTTATGTGATGTTAGATTTTGGTGGTATCAAGCTATTTGAAAGAGATTACTATGTTAGGACCTCAAATCAACTTCATAATGTATTGTTGGTGATATATCTTGAGTAGATAATAATACATGTCTTGCAAAAGATTAACCAGAAATATTTTCCCTGCACAAAAAATGAATTAGAATCATGAATCATCATCAATGTTTGCATAACTGCTTGTCGGTATTTGATACGAACTATGAACCAAAACACGGATATGACAAAATACACGAAATCAACAATAAGAGCTAGGCCTACAATTGATTGGAAGAACAAGAACCAATTAGGCTCTGAAGCCTAATTACCTCTATGAACTCAATCAATTGTAACCCTAAGCTATGAAAACCCTCAAGAGATTGGCAACTCTTGAAAACCCGGATTAAGTAATTAAGCAATTAAGCATTCACTACTAATTGCTTACCAACTAAGACTAATTTAGCACTAATGAAAGCATAAACAAAGCAATAAAGGAATTAAAGGCATAAACATAAATGCATTAATTAAAAGATAAGGAAAGAGTGTGAGACTTACATGTCTTCAAGTTTTATCATTCATCAAGTCTACCTAAAATAAAAGCCTTAAGGGCTATTTATATTAGAGTGGGCATTTGGCTACAAATGACCCAAATACCCCTAAGCAAATTCTAAGGAGCTTAGCCAATTATTACAAGTATAGCCTTCTTGATTTTGACTCCTTTAAAGCACTCCAATGCTCTGATGTTGACTTGAAAATTGTTAGGCATGCTAATCCAGCATGTATCATCCTCCCCCACTTGAAAGAAATTCGTCCTCGAATTTGGACTTTGCAAAACCAAGAAAGAGGCAAACATAAGTACCAAGCCAATCACAATCAAAGTATTGTATGTCCAAGCTAAAAGATCAAAGATCACAATCTTGTACTCAAAAGTGACACTCTTATGATATAGCCAAGTGTCATAATCTATAAAGAACACATCTCCATTACAAATGACACAAACTTGACTATAAGAAAAATAATACTCATGAGAAGAATTAAGAGAGTGTAAAGTTTCATGCTTCCAACAAAACCACAATATTGTCAAATCCTCAACAAAGTGCACACTTTTATTGTATAACCAAGTGTCATAAGAAGGAATAAAAATCATACTCTCCAACTCAAAGAAAGACACTTCACCATGATAAGAAGCAACTCCGGGGTCAAACACAAATTTTAATCTCCAAATATCTACACACCTTCCAACAACTTCACATGAAAACTTAAGAGATATGCCATGCTCATCATGAATCATCATATAAAGAATATCATAATACTCAAAGTTAAAACTCTTTACCTCAATGGCCTTAGATAAACACAAAATAAGCATAAGCCAAACGTACATACCACTCTTGCTTTTGGGCAAAACAAAAAGCTCTTTATAAAAAGTATGCCAAAGTGTTAGTTCAAGGCCTTTCTTACCCTTAGCAACTTTCCCATGTTGAACCTTAACAAAACAATCAATAAAGTTAGGTTCTTTTTGCTCAAAATGGTCACTCAAAATACCAAAAGAAACATTCTTACCTTTTAGTTATCGAAGCATTNAATTTTCACCTAAAAACCTTTCAAGGTTTAAAAAAAGAGCATTTCTTACAGAGTTTTCAAAATTCTTTGTCATAGCTAGCATTAAAAAACAATTGTGCTAGATAGAAGTTACTGGTTCACCGGAACCCATATCCGACACTTGTCCCAACACTTCCTACAAACTGTAGTAGTACCTTGCCCTACTTCTCACTTTACAACAATGCTTCTTGAGGTCGTTTTTTTTAATTGTTTCGTTATTGATAAATATATTGTTGTCTACCTTATAATTCAAAGGGTTGTCTCACCCACGAAAGTTGGATACTTGGATCGCTCAAATATTTGAGTTCTTACATTGATCAAACATAAGATGAGAGAAGGAATAAGAAAGATTACAATATCAATCTTTTATACTCTACTTATCAGTTAAATACTGCAATTTTGGCTATGAATATGATCATATTACATGATGCCTTATAAATGCGTAAAATGTAAGAATTTCTCTTAAAGCGTGATATTTGTGGTTGTGGGAGGGTGGTCTGTAACGTAGTTGCTAACTTCAAAAATCTTGAACTCCATTTGAAAGTTGTGAATTTGTGTGCAGGATGTAATGGAATAAGTTCTATACTTCACAAAGAACAATCCTAGAAATTTTGCTAACCTGTATGGCTGTATCACAAAATAAAGAACTTTTCCAAAATTCACTATCTTGATGTTAATATTCATTCTCAAATACAGAGGTTCCTTCTCACAGTTGGAGAACTCATGAAACATCAAGTTGCTTTAAGTTCTTTCCTGCTCTTCAACTAAAGCTAGTTGTAAGTTTCCTAGGTTTTCACAATTATAGATTATGTCGTAAGCAGAGCAGGGGAAGAAAATTTTTGGTACAACTTCAAATAGAGCCGTAAAAAAATAAATTAGTTCAAATTAGTTCACATACAACTCTTGGGTAGCAATTAAAAGCTGCCGAGGCCTAAGTTTGGAATCAAAGCTGCATATCGTGGGCTGTTGATTTTTTTCCTGGATTTTTTTTTTGTATTCGAGAGGTCTAGTTGATTTGAACCCAAGCCCGAGTTGCTTCCACTATAACTCTTCACACCAAAGCAAAACTGGAGAAGACGACCATTTGTGATTGGCTATTTGCCGCTTCTATCAGGTGTTGGGGTGTACTTTGCTTTGTAAACCACGCGGTGTGCAATTCTTGAATCTTCCCTTGTGTCTGTCTTTCCCTCTTTGTTTTTCCTTTTAGGTTTGTAAAATCATATTATTTTACCATGATACTTTTATCTGGGTGTTATATTATATGATGTGTTAGAAGGAAATGAAAAATAACGTATCTCCAACTGAATGGCTCCAAGATCCAAGCATGTTCTTGGAGGAAGTCTGATGTCGACCTGTTAAATTTGGATCTACTGAATAAACAACGAAAATTTAGCCTTTGTCTATATTACGAGGATACTGGGTGGGTCATCCCCCACTTGAAAGAAATTCGTCCTCGAATTTGGACCTTGCAAAACCAAGAAAGAGGCAAACATAAGTACCAAGCCAATCACAATCAAAGTATTGTATGTACAAGCTAAAAGATCAAAGATCACAATCTTGTACTCAAAAGTGACACTCTTATGATATAGCCAAGTGTCATAATCTATAAAGAACACATCTCCATTACAAATGACACAAACTTGACTATAAGAAAAATAATACTC